ACCCCATCGGCCCCCATGCCTGCCCGGCAGGGCCGTCGAAGGTAAGAGCACAGGACACACTATGAACGAGGTGCTGGTACTGCTAGCATGTGAGTCCAGGGGAACAGGAAGGGCACGCTCCTCTGAATTGCCTGTCTGCACGTCCCGCTCCAGTGGGAGCACACAGTAGGTGCTCAGGAAAGCACCTTCGGTGGATCAGAAGGTCTTTTCCGGCGCAGGCATTGGCCATTAAAACTCACAGTGCGCACAGAGCATAAGTGAGTCTTCAGGCAGAGCAGATAATCCATTTGGTGTGGTCGTCAGCTGCCTTTAGTGAAGATTAAAATAATAGGAGAAATATTTAAAACCCAACAGGTCTGGGAGAAGAAATAGCAAAAATATCTCTTTTTGGTATGACTGGGGTTTGGTTTGAAATAGCTCCGCAGCCTGAGCTTTGGCTACACTCAGTCATTTCCAAAAGGAAGGGAGCATTTAGCACATAGAGAAAGCTTTGCGTTTTCCACTTAACAACTGGGTGAGCTCCGGGAAGTCTCCGCACACAGACCCCTGGCAGGACCTGTTCTCCAGGCAGGTCCCGTTCCCACTGAGCCAGGAGTGAGCAGGCGCCTCGGGGACCCAGCGAGAGCCGAGGGCTGTGAGCCATGTGGTCTGCCAGCTGCAGACTGAGCACCGGTGGCTGTGTCGCCGACCGGCCCGGCTGACCAAGCAGTGGGGCTTCTCTGAGCGCTGACTGTGCACGCAGGGCGGCAGCGGAACCGGCAGACGCCAGCACACGGACACGTGTCCACTGGGCACCCTGGCATGTGCGCAGTGAGCGTCCACTATCTGCCCGTCGCTGATGCTAACGAAGGGTCGGGGGCGGTTCCCCGAAGCCGAGCTCAGGCTCCAGAGGATAAGGGTGCGGGACAAAGCCCCATGCAACGTGGCACTTGCAGGGGGATAAAAACTGAGTGCCGAGAGACCATGAATGGAAGGAACAACACGTTCAGGCAAAGGGGACGTCAGGCTCCAGAGGATAAGGGTGCGGGACAAAGCCCAATGCAACGTGGCACTTGCAGGGGGATAAAAACAGTGCCGAGAGACCATGAACGGAAGGAACAACACATTCAGGCAAAGGGGACAGAGCTTCTAGTGACACCTTCTCAGTGGAAGGCATGGATGCCAAAGGAGAAGGGACCCACTGGGGGTCAGGGAAAGCCAGCACCAGTGCAGGGTCAGGGCACACATGGAGGACGAAGCTGGGGAGACAGGCTGTGGCCAGCCTGGAAAGGACGCCAAGTGCCACAGCAAGACGTTTGGGTTCTATGCCTGGGGATGAAGGTTCCCAACTCTTCCCACCCAGCGCGGCACAGAGCAAGGCCACCGAGGCACCTGGGAACTTGCTGACAGTGCAGACTCTCAGCCCTGGCCCCGGGGAGCCCGTTTCAGTGGGCCTGGGGTACAGCCCAGAAGTCTATTTTTAACGAGCTCCAGCAGCGGCTCTGAAGACCGGCCAGGTTCGGGAAAGCCGAGAGGGTGAGGAGCAGCTGCAGGAGGGTTTTAAGCGGCTGATCAATGCCTCTGACCACAGCACTTAGTCAATGAAGCTGAGCAAACACGAGAATGAATTACTGGCTGTGGCTGTGGTTGAGCAGAGCTACAACGATGACAGGTGACCCTGCAGAGCGCGCTTGCCGCGTGCCAGGACCCGGAGCTGTGCCGGCCTCACGCCTTCTCTGTGGTTCCTCGCGGCGCCCCCGCGAGGCGGGTACAGGGCCAGCGACACGACAAGCCGGGCCCGGTGCAGGGTGAAGAGGTGGGGCTCTGGTTCCCATATCAGTAAGAACGTCAAGATGGCGACCGCGGAGCATTAAGCCAAGCGCCCCTCTGAGCACGGGGCGCTGCGGGGCTGTACTGGCCACACGGCCAGGAAACAGGCCCCATGCAGGTGCTGTCGCTGCTCCCACTGTACCAAACGGGGGCGGGGGGGAAAGGGGTTCCAGGAGCCAGGGGAAGGATGGTTTCAGGGCCGCCACATCCTAAAATTTCTAAGCCTTGAAGGATTTACAAAAGGAACATCCAAGCTCACTCAGGACACAAAGCACCCGTGCAGTGCGGCACCTGCTCCGGGGCTGGAAGTGCTCAGGAAGGCTCAGGAAGGCTCAGGAGGTGGGTGGCAGCGGAATTCGGAAGGCAGGCAGACCGGGACGATGGCAAAGAGGCCGAATGGGACTCAAAGGAGAAAACGGGGCCAGCCCAGCCACCCAGTGGCCGAGCAAGCACCTGGCACTTGTCAACACAGATCTGTGAAGGACTCAGCAGTGGCAGGACAGGCACCCCGCTTTCGCAGAGCTCACCCTGCAACAGGGAATGTGAAAACATCCACGAAGTTCCAGGACACTCACTCACAAACGCGATCGCGTGTGGAAAGCAGGAAGCATGACGTGCTGTGCAGGGCTCCTGGAGGCCCTGCGGGGAGCGTGGCGGGCAGTGTCCCAAGCAGCAGGAGGGGGGCTGAGGGAAGACCTGGAAGGCCCAGGATGGCCAGGCTCTGGGGGACAGTCTGGGACCAGGCTGAAGAGGGCTACAGGGCCACAGCACTCAGCGCCCTACACAAGGTCCGACTTTATCCAGAAGGATTTTTAGGTAGAGATATGACAACATCCAATTTGAAATTTTAAAAGGTGGCCTGCCTGTGAGAAAGCGAGGGGAGAAAACAGCCACCCTGAGTGAGGGGGGAACGGGTCAGCCAAGGATGATGGGGATCGTCATGAAACCGCAGTTATTCAGTCCCTACTGTGTGCAGACCGTTAACAACTCCTGTAAAAACAACCTGCTGCAAGCCTCTGAATGAATAGTGTTGGGACGATTCTCTGACACGCGGACTTACAAAGAAGTCTGCGACAGCGGTCAAGGCCCCCGGCTCCTCGGCCCGACGTGGACTTCCTGGTCTGAGCGTCCTCGCCTCTCTCGGACATTGGCGGTCACCTGGCTGGCCTCGCCCGCAACTCTGCCACCCACGGCCGTGGCCAGGTTCCCCTTCCTCCTCACAGACGGTCTTTGCAGGCCCCTCCTCGGACCGCTGAGAGGCTGCTGTCTGCAGAGGCTCTGGTTCAGCCCCCTGGTCACTCCACACACTTCCCCTGGGCAATCTGATCCACACCCGCAGCCTGGTTTCAGCCATCTCCACGCACGAAGCCCACCTCTCCAGACTGTCTCTTGTCACTGCCTACTTTTCCCTCAACCAGGAAGAAAGATAGTATTACAAATCCGTGACCATGCCGTGTTTTCTCATGTCTACCCCTGATTCTTTATCCAGGATGCTCCCTCTTCATAGAATCTCCATGTCTTCCCTACCTAACCCTCCAAACTCCTGCTCATCCTTCAAGACCCCCACCTAAGCATCGTCTCCGTTAGACCCTTCCCTGGGCTTGCTCCAGGCTAGGCTGGGTGCCGGGATGACCTCCATCACTCCACTTATCACAATATACTTCAGCAGTTTGATACAAGCCTGTCTCCCCAACATGACTGTGACCTCAAGAGCAGGACCAAATCTCATCAAATTTGTACCCCACTTTCTAGGACAATTTCTGCCCTAGAGTAGACAATTACAGGACATTTGTTGACCGAATCATTTGTTGCATCTACTCGGTGAAAAGCCCTGGGTTCTTCGACATGAACTGCCGTGAGCCTCTGTTATTTTATGTGTGTGTGTGTGCGCGCGTTTGCCCAGTTAGACTCAAGCGCGCTCTGGGAGCCCCAGCATGCTGAGCATCTCCCTTCTCTCTGCTATGGAGGAAAACAGGTAATGAGAAAATCAGTGGCGGCAGTGACCAGGAATTTACAAGGAGAATGAAAAGAAAAAGCCAGTTTTTGATCACATACAACAGACTATGTGTGGTGATGCAGTAAACGTAAAATTCAAAGAGAACTCAGGTCACAAGCTTGACTGTATCTTTTGCAGAGTAATTGCTCAATAGGAACCTCATGAATTGAAATCAAGCGACTGAGAACTAACTCCAGCTGCGGTGGCTGATGCCCGGGTGGGTGGGGGGCAGCATTCGGGGCACAGGAAGCCACCGAGGACCGGGCGTTCGGGACCACAGTGCCTTACACCGCGAATAGCTGCTTGTGCGTTTTCCCTTCTGTTGTTCCTGGACATCAGAAGGAGGGGATGTGGGAACAGCAGGCAAATCAAAGCTTCCCGTTAATGAGAATGAACAGTTTGGGCCAAGGGACAGATCGCCTGCGGTTAAATCGAACAAAAAAGTCACCTGCTGAAAGAGAAGTGGCCCGGGGGTACCACAGCGTCCGATCAGCCTGCAAGTGACGGACACGGGACCCTGAGATCAGCTGAGTCTCAGCGAAACGAGACTCCAGTTCCCCAGCATGTGGCGGGGACCCTCACATACACATCACCTTGCCTCATCCTCCTGGCGGCCTTCTAGGTAGGAATCATTATTTTCATTCAACAGAACAGGAAACCAGGGCCCTCAGAGGGAAAGCTGACAAAGAGAAAGCCAGGAATTAAGGACAGGGCTAGTCCCCGTGTCCTCTGGAGGCGGCTACTGTTCTCTGAAAGTTGTCCTGATGTGTTGGCCGGTCCATCGGGCATATGGGGTGAGATTACTCGACCAGGAGAGCAGGGTCCATGCTGAACACCTGTTAGACACTGATGATGCTGGGGACTCAGC